TTCACAGACTGTCCACTTCCTTGTCCATCAGCATACAGAGGGTACACAGTTATCAGGTAACACTTGAATGGCTTTATATCACCTAATAAAAGGAATTTTAAAACATGTTGTTTCACAGACAGTTAAATTCCTTCCTTCTCATTTACTTTCGATACAAGGTTCTCGCTTTTGGCTGTTTTATTAGATGCACTTGCATCTACTGCAGCTATTTTTTTCTAGAGCTCACTGATACACTGCTCCAAAATATTAACTAAAGGAACAATATAATGGTTCACATTAAAATGTTATATTTAGTAAATAGACTTCACAGGTTAGAAACAGCCAGCCTTTTAAGTAAAAAGCCTTTGTTTGCAGCACTGAACCCCAAAATTATTGATCTGAGCTACTGATCATAATATTAAAAAAACTGTAAAGCTGATAACTTTCATTGTTTGAACTGAAAGAGGTATCAGAATTTGATTTTGAAGGAACAAAGCCTATTCACTATTTTAATGATTTCTGATGAGAAGACCAAAACCAAAATGCAGATAAAAACCTTGTTGTTACAGAATATAAATTTCAAAACTCAAGATCAGACAGTTTGACAGATACACACAGATACTTCTTCACACTTCTGATAAACCAAGAGAAGTTTAATGGAAGCATTATTCCATATTTCTGTTTTACGATAAAATTCTACTCAGCATGAGGATGTTCCTCACTTTGAGAATACTTATTACATTTTTAGTGTTCTACAAATTATTTGTAGATTTATAACCTGAATACCTTTTAAGTATGTTCCTTGCACATTTCCTGGTTCATTCTGCCATTCTATGATGCAGTCTGAGCTGTTGGACACCAGACACCATTCAACCACATATTTAAGAACATAATTGTTAGGAGCAGTCCACCCTACCCACAACTTGCCATCTTTAGGTAGTGTTCTAAGATTCTTCACAGGAGCTGTGATGAAATAAACCAGAAAAGTGATAAATATTGACAGCTCTTCCACCAAATATTAGTAATAATAGCTATTTTGTCAAATGCAGATATTTCCAGGTTTTTGTAACAATGACAAATTGACAGAACCCAAGCAAATGCAAAAGCCACCTTCTGAAATTTACACACTTGCATCTGAATTTTCCTATTGGAGATCCAAACCAAACAGTATTAGGCTATTTCAAAACTGGAAATTAGACTCAGCCTCTCTTCTCAAACATAGTAAGCTGTGTTATTGGACAGTAAAGAGATACTAAAAGAAAAGACCTACTTCAGAGAGAAATCAAACACTGAGACACTCTAAATTCCCACTCTAATTGTCCACTCATGTTCCTTACCAAGTACTTCTGGCTACACAATACTACTACAAGACATACCTTTATAATTATTTCATTGAACAGTTTTAGAACCTGTGGCTCTCCCTTGATGTTTACACTAAAAGAAGCATCTGTCTGCATACTTATTTTTCATCTCCTTTCCTTGTAATATTCAGATTGTCTAAGAGGAGGACGGAAGAAAGGAGAAACCAGCCTGTAGTTACTACTACTGCACAGAGAAAGCAACATAGTAAAAAGGAACATGAGCTGTAGTGGAAGTAGATGAAAAAACAACCAGGAAAGACAGTGAAAGTGTAGGGGAGTGAGACTGGGATGAGAAAAGAAAGGGGCCAGGGTGAGATCAGAAATCAGAAGGAAGAAGGTCAATGGTGAGATGGTGTATACATAAAGCATGCCTGCACCCCCAGCCCTTGATTTTTAAGAAGAGAACTAAGAAGTGTCTCCTATGCTAAGAAACACAAGAATAGAGAATACAGTGTATAGTAGCTATAAGGGTCAAAAAGAACAGCAGAATAGCACACAGCTTCAAATGAAGGTGTGAGTACGTAAATCTGCGCATGCCTTGGTAAACAAATGGTAGCCTAATTATAAGGTATAAGACTGTACACACATTCAGTAACACTTTGTGTGTTTATATAAAAGGTAATGCAGACAGATGCATTTGAAACAGACATTACTGGGACACTAACCTTTTGAATTACTTGCTGGGATGAGTAAAACTGATGGAGGGGATGCCCCGGCACTGTTATGGGCAACCACAGTCACTTCGTAAGTTCCATTTGGCAGCTTTAATGTAAGGTTGGTACCACTAACAGTGTATTTCTCTGCTGGACTGGACAGAGAGGATTTACTTCTGACAGTTACTTCATAATGCAAGACTACTCCATTGGCTTCAAATGGCTCCAATGCCTGTTAGAAACACATCTTTTATTATACTGATACTGGAGAAACATTACTTAACCTTTATTGTCTTTGATGTATGATTTAGAAAGCTGAGAGTAAGACAAATTATCAAAAAAGTCATATTTAAGGCAAGTGGAAATAACCTGTGTTCCTTTCTGTGGAGCAGTAGCTTCCAGAACTGTTTCTAGTTTAAATCCTCTTTTTCTTGGCTCACAATCATACCTATTAGTTTAATAAAAGCTATTCTGTATTAATTATATAGCATGGGTTTATAAAGTTGTCATTTTCTGTGCTTTCACAAGACTATGACATAAAAAGAATCACATCTTCGTCTGTGTTGAACCCAAATGCAAAACAGCATGAGTAGCTTTCTTTTATTACACACAGGAAAAAAATACTTATTTCTGTGTTACCTAATAACAGAAAACCTCTATGCTTCTGTGTAACAGTATTAATTTTCAGATAACTTAGGAGAAAGTCTTTGAAACTCTACAAAGTACCTGTTTTCCAATTCTAAGCTAAATGATGGCAGAAGTGGCATGTAGCATGAGTTACATCAGAAAACAATGCTGTATCAATACACATCTAACTTCACACAAACCACCCAGTAGTAGAGAAAAAGTAGTAATAAAGGTACAGCCAGATGACATGTGACCAAGTTCATAGACCAAAAGCAGGAGATGGGGACTGACCATAATGGCATTTACTTCCTCAGCTATGGGATAATCAGCCACCTAGAGAAAGCAGCCTACTGCATGCAAAAGTGCAGTGCTTTATTTAATAAGTTTGGCCTCTGGAATGTCTCTAGGCTGAATGGATTTTGGAGTTGGAGTATCCCTATCCAGTGTTTCAAAAGTTTTAGGATACAGCAGAAAGTGTACCATGAAAGTTTACTTTGTTCAAGTGAGTTTCCAATTTCACAAACTGCTTAAGGACAGCAAGTCAGGAATCTGAAAGTGGATTCTGTCTCCTACAGATATGTCAGTTAACTGATGGCTTTTACATCCCTACTTTTAGTTTTTCCATAATTAGTTATTATAATAAGGATACTAAAGTCACTTCTTGTATCAATAAAACCTGTAGCATCTCAGCTACCTACTCAAGTTTGTTGAGGTAGATTTTGCCACTTAAAAGCTCATGTTTTTAAAAGAACGGTCAGTTCTTGCAGTGTATCACATTGCTTTACCTTCCACATCAGATGCACAGTCCGGGAAGCTGATGAGCAAGACGCATCAATGATCCTCCAGATGGGTGGTCCTTTAGATGGTTCTGATGAAAAAACACCAATGTTTAATAGTAGAAATACTTTTATTTAATCTGTCTGAATTCATCCTTCGATGATTAGTTGTTCGTCCTTCTTTGTAATAAAAGCATACATAGAAAGGGTTTTCTTAGCTTCTCAAAAAAAAAAGCTTGGTATATTAAGTGGAACATCTCCATGGAAACAACTCTTGAACAGATGAGCAAAACACCAGTTCTAAGTATCAAAATAACAGACAGTCACCACGCTGAGCATCTGCAGCAACAGGGCTGAAGATGACAGTACTGAGTAAGGCACAGCCAAACCTACACCACACAGCCTATATCCAGAGGCACAGCCCTGCACATCTGTACACTGACAAAACCTGCTGTGGTCTGTAGCTTCACCACTCTTCCTGCCCCTCAGTATCAAGTCAGCTAAAAAAAGGAAAGTACAGAAAAGTCAGCGAGACAATTTTCTCCACCCAGGATTCCCCAAGTTTCCTGTATTCTTTATGCTGAAAAGGGTAACTTTTCAGTACTTCTGTACAATATTACAACACTTTCTGGTGTCAGTACTGTAAGAAATTAAAGTGGTATTTCCAATACAGATTTAATTTCATAGTGGAATGAATTTATCTATTACAGTGCATAAAACAAGAAGTGGCCAATCATTTGTGAGCACCTTAAAAATAAGATGCCGAACAGAAAGATGATCTTAAAATGCATTTACATTTATCATCTTGAAAGACTATCTTCTCTGGTAATTTTTATTGCATTTTTTTGTATTAATCTTTCGACTTTTTTTCCCATTTTACCACCAAAAACTAGTATCATGTCTACAGTGTACATCTCTTGTCCTTTACATAAGATGGAAAGGAAAACTGGGAACCAAGGCAAAAGGTGCTCCTTCTTAAAAAATCTCATTTCAGTACTCTGGTTTAATTCATGTGAAAGAGAATTCGTACATCTTGCCTAATAGAGATTATGCATCCAACATGATCTGCCCAACATTCACTTCCTACTGTAATATCTTTGATCTGAAAACAAGACATGGGTACTTAATCACCAATAGCTGTACTTTTGCAAAGCCAGTCGCCACAGTGGAACAGTAATGCAGTTTAAATAGGCAGGCAGTCCTGAAATCCTCATTGCTCAGCTTGAGACAGTGACCCCAGAAAACAAAACTACCCTGTCATTAGGAGCTGAAAAGAAGTGACTAGAATACCAAAAGAATATTTTACAATATCTCCTCCAGAGAAAGTGAATTTTACACAGAGCACTGCCATTACATACACCAATCCAATTTTGTTCAAGTCAGCAGAGTACATACTATAATCTTTTTCTTATTTCTCCAATATAAGATGACATGTGAACTCAACCAAAACTCATCACTTGGAAATACGTAATTAATAATAAATAAATTAATAATAATTAATAAGTAAAATACTTAGGATAAATAAGGAAGGTTTTCTGACCCACTGCAGTTAGTTAAGCTCCAAGCACAAAGCTGTGTTTTGACAATGAAACCTGTATTAGTTTAGCTCTGTTTAAAGACACGCACTGAAATGCTGTACTAAATCAACTGCTTAATAAGGTGCCTTGGAAGGCACTAAGGAACAGACAGGATATTACAGAAAAGAGAGCAGGAAGAGTGTAAGTGGGAAAGACTAAAGCACATTTTAAAAAAGATCAATCAGGCTGACTTAGAAGCTAAACAGATATCCCAAAGTGTCTGTAGTAGTCAGAGGGAAGAATAGATTCCCTGCTGGGTATCAAGCACACAACCAGAACGTCCATTCATTAGCTCCGTATGAGGTAGGATCAGTATATGCCAGAAACAAAGCCAAACTGGCAGGCAGTCAAAGTAGAAATGAAACGGAAAGAGGAGCAACCTAGTTTCACTTCTCACAATCCTAGAATTAGTGGAGAAGAGTTTCTAACCGACAATAACCAAGTTCTTGGAAAAAACAAGACAAAAATCTCCGCACTGTTTAATTCTTTGAAGTCAGAAATCAGCAAGTGATTCTCAATGCTGCTACCAATGCCTAGGGAAGAAACAAGCCTTTAAAAATCAAATCCCTTTAAGGGTTATTTACTAATTCTAGAATTCCCAGAAGTCTCAGTGTGTATTATTAACACTAGGTTAAGCTTTAAATTCACAGCCCTGGAAGGAAAAAACCTGCTTAAGTAGTGATTGGTTTACACTTGGAAGTTGCATGTATCTTACTTGCAAAGTCTTGCTTGTGCAAGACTGAACAAGATCCAAATACTGCCCCCAAAGAGCTGATGCTGGTAGGGGGTTTTCCTCATTAAATCAAGATAGCAGCAATCCAGTGTTCACCCCTCCTGCAAAGGGACAGGATCTTACAAGTCCAGATCTACACGGCTATAACCCCAATGACATCATCAAGAAGGGAAAGTGTAAGGAGATGGTGATTTTTTCAGATTGAATACAGCCAAAATAAAACCATTTTCCACAGACTCAATCTTGCTTAAAGTCAGCAGTTTATAGATGGCATTCTCCTTCTTACGCCTCCCACACCGACAACCATATCAGTGATGTGCAGGAAGACTTGATTACTGTGCATGGAATACTGTACAAAAGTGGGTACAAGACAGTGCAGAGCCAACTGTAGCAACTGACAAGCAATGAAATGCTGTAGATGCAGAATACCTTGGGAAAAGCTAGAGTATACCATAGTGTTCTACCTAGATGCTCTGATGTGTAAGAGGCTACACTTCCCATATACACATTATTTCACATCACTACTTTACTATGTTTGTGAAGAAACCTACGTACCCTGTATGACTACAGCATTCTGGTTTGTACTTACTGACATTTGTTCACTTATGTCTGTAACTAACAGCCTCCTAAACACCAATTTGTTCATAAATTAAGGCTGTCTGTCTATGAAAAAACACAACTTTCACACAGCTACAATAGCTTCTGTTACAGAGGATAACCTTCAGCACAAAGAAATAAGCATAAAGCCTACACCTCTTCTAAAAGACTTTGAAAGCAAAGAAAGCTTTTCTTCCAATTTCAGTCATTTTCATGGAGCACCTCTTGACTAGCTTTATGGGAAGCTATTCTCATGCTGCTTAGAATGCACAGGCCAAGTTGCTCCATGCTGAAAGTAACTCGGGAGAGTCTCACTGCATGTATAATCAACCTACTGCCCAGGCAAGGATACATAATTTCAGCTGGCTATCCCCAGAGTGCTGAGCACTCGCACATTTTGAAAGTCAGTGAACTACTTTCATAAATTACTTACTATCCTCAGTGGTGACCCCAGTCTTCTCTTCACTCCAGTCACTCCAGTAGCCCACTCCATCTTCCTTCATGCAACGGACTGAAAAGACATACTCTGTGTAGGGTCTGAGCCCTTGAACACTGAATGAAGTTCTTGGTGAAGCTGTATCTTCAGGAGGAACCTACAAATGGAAGATTTAAGAAGCAGTGATCAGAACTCAAAAAGCCCAGTTCTGCGCTACTACAGCTCCCGTTTAAGAGGGTTCTCCACCAAATACACATCAAATACAAACAACATAGTTTTTTCTCCTAATTTCCAAAAGCTTCAGTTATCAGCCATAGTCTGGTAAGGTATCAGAGTTGTGTTTATTCACCAGGAATAACACATACACTAGAACAGGTAAGCAGTTACCTCAGGACAATTTCTGACATCGTTTTTAAATCAGTATGTTTACCTCTCCTTCCTTTCCATACTATTGCTCTACCTACTGATCTGTAATGACGCACCTCACATTACAGAACTTTTCTATGTTATCTGCTTGATTATTGGTTCCAAAATGCCAATGCTGTAAAGGCTCCTATAAAGTTAGAGAGTCCAGGATAATTGCTTCCACTGATGCAGAGCAGTCTTTCCTAATTGACAATGGAAACAGTTTGGTTTACAGTAGTTTATACTTCTGCTAATAAAGGAGTTTGTTTTCATAAGCACTTTTCTTTCTCTTAGAATAACAATTGAGTGTCAGAAAATATTCTGTGTATGTATAGAAACAAATGTGTGATATAGATAATATACGTATCTCCAGGAACAGTGGCTCAATCACTTCCCTGGGCAGCCTGTTCAAACGCTCAACAGCCCTTTCAGGGAAGACATTTTTCCTAATAACCTACTTAAGCCTCCCCTGGCACACCTTGAGGTTATCTCCTCTCATCCTGTCAGCTTGTTCCTTGGGAGAAGACACCAACACCTAACTTGCTGCAATGCTCTTTCTGGCAGTTGTAGAGAACTATAAGGTCCCACCTGAGCCTCCTTTTCTCCAGGCTAAACAATCCCAGTCCCTCAGCCACTCTTTGGAAGACGTGTGTTCTAGGCCCTTCACCAGCTTCACTGCCCTTCTTTGGACATGCTCCAGCCCCTAACTGTCCTTCTTCCAGAAAGGGGCCCAAAACTGAACATGGTACTCAAGGTGGGAGGACAATCGCTTCCCACGTCCTGCTGGCCTTGTTTCTGATACAAGCCAGGATACTGTTGGCCTTCTTGACCACCTGGGCACACTGCTGGCTCATCTTCATCTGGCTGTCCACCAGCGCCGCCAGGTCCCCTTCTGCCAGGCAGATTTTCAGCCACTCTTCCCGAAGTCTGTAGCATTGTGTGGGATTGTTGTGACTCAAGTGAAGTCACAGCAAGCCCAAAAAAGCATCCAAGCACTGCAGAGCACTTCCCAGGCTTTAAATTACATTGAGGTCAGTTGTTTTGCAGAAGTGGAAGACGAAAAGTTCATGAATGTTCTAGATGTTGCATGTACAGAATAAAAATTCAAGATAAACATACTGCAACATAATGGGGAGGCCAGCAGAAGTCCACAAAAAAAAAAGAGGACGCTGTACTCTGTATTGTGCCAAAACCCCCTAGAACACAGCCTTCATGAACAGGCCAGATTACCTAATTTGCAAGGCTACATAAGGCCTGTGGATAACAAAGTGAATCCTCTGAAGTACAGCAGTAAGAGAACTTCTGCAGTTTAAGAAATGGCTGGCTTACAGCAGAAGAGTTACAAGGAATATTAATTGTATTACCTGCACCCAGTTTGTGTCACCAGTGATCCTGTAGCGAATGTTAAATTTCAGCTTCATCACAGCTGTACAAATCCGATTCTCCCAGGAAAGCTTCAGAACAGTGGGTAGTATTCCAGAGTTGACTGATAAGTTGTGTGGAGACAGAGGTTTAACTAGAAGAGAACGAGTAAGTCAACTCAACAGCTGTATTTTATCATTCCTCTAGCAGTTAGTACAGTATGTTGTAAACACTACCAAGATGAAACAGCTGCTACTTCACACTAGTTTCTAAAGCAGACTACTGAAAAAGAACTCACCATCTAACTGTAATCAAATCTCTCATCCTCCTCACCTTTCTGCAGCACAGTTCAAGTTGTAGCCAACAATATTTTGGAAGAAATCTTAACATAATAATTCCGTAACATGCAAAGAAGCAGCTGTTATATATTACAAAAGCTTTATTAAAAGGCATATAGTTACCAATCTCAATGGGATCAAAAACAAGAGGATCAGATTCAGCCTTCCCAAGAGCATTTTCTGCTTCTACCCAGATCTCCAGGTTAACAAAGAACTGGACATCGGGAATAGTACAAGAATTATTTACACCTTTCGGTATACAGTCAGGAAAGGTCTCCTGTGTCCTGAACAAGAGAGAAAGGAAAACAAGGTATAAAGCAGGCAGTTTGGTTTTCTTTAGAGAGTCTTTTAAAGTTGATCAGTGACCAATTAGTTTTCAAATAGTCTTCAAAACTTAGATACTCTATAGAGGGCTGCTTACCATCTGTTTTTCAATCTAAAGTGGGTGTCCAGGAACGTATGCCTTCCAGGGTTCCAGGTACAAGTCATAGGGTATGTGAGTTTTGACAACTGATGCACAATGCAACTTAAGTTCTTGGGCTTCTCTGGGGGCACTGTACAGAAAACATTAGCAATAATTAATCTATATACAATTTTAAATCCATGAAGAATCATGCTAAGTGTTCCACCATGGGAATTTCAGTGAACATTACAAGTATTAATAGTCAGATTTATTTCTAAAGGAGAGGGGAGAAAACAAAAGTCCTAGATACTATCCAGCAATGGAAGTCAAGAAGCTTAACCGGCTGCTCTGAGAAAGAGCAGGATGTATAGGGAACAAGCACCTGAGAGTAAGGAACAGCAAAGAAGATCTCATTCTTTGAGGCAAAACCCACGATATCAACCATCTCACATCTAAATCTATTTTAATTCACACAGAAAAAAAATGTTAATGAGCACTATAGCTGGAATGGCATATGTTGACTTCACCAATAACTTAAGCTCTAAGGTCTGTTCTCCTTCATCTGAGCAATGGCAGGATACTTTAGCTGCAAACACATACAAGAACTAAGGGATCTTCATCAGTCCACTTTAGTAGCAGAGAAAATTTTTCAGAGTGCAGCTGAACTGCTGGGCTTTTTCCCCCCCCCCTTAAATTCAAATCATAGCATGGAAAAGAGTTGATTTCTAGCTTTTAGAATATCACTAATTACAACAGTATGATGTCCCTGAAGAATCTTATTCCTTTAAGGGAGAAAGTGATTTTCATCAGAATTACCTTACAAATATTATAGTTTCATTCCTGAATAGTTGATGTTATTCTCATTGTTTAAAGAATTTTTCTTTAACTGACAGTATGAAAATACAATAGCTTTAAATACAGATGATTCAGATGTGGATTATAACTGTAGAATGTTTTTTTTACTGTCATTCAGTTTATCATCTTAGGATATTGTAGCTGTCCATGTGTTTTGCCTGACGCATCTTTTCTGCTATGAAATTTACTCCTCAGAAGTTGAAACAGAAAACCTTTTTCCTGTGGAAGCATTTTGGAACTCATGCTAGCACCACATTAGTTAAAATTGTGAACTCGAGTCAGTCTGTTGTGCCCAAGCTGTGCAACAACTGCAATACCTATTGCCAGCACTAGGAGGCAATAGAATTCATCAGCCATTCAGCCTGGCAAAAAGGACAATAGCATTTATTTTAAAAAGGCCCACCAACTAATTAAGTAGTATATTAAGTTGTTCATATTACTTTCTCAAGACCTCAGTCTTGCCCCAAACAGCACTTGCTGAGAACTGTGCAAGTGCTATCATGCTTGAACAATTAAAGTTTGTAAGTAATTCAAAATATTTTATTATGTATGGAGGTAGAGCAATCCAAACACTATCTTCCACCCTTGAGGCTGTTCATGTTAGCTTCAGTGATACAGAGAGGCTAAATACTTCAGTCCATTAAAGAAGAAAACATTAATTTCATAGTGTTACTATAAAAGCAAGACATCTGACTTCATTGCATTTCCTTGAATACTGAAACAGAAGCAAGGAGTAAGGAAAAGTTAATTTCCTAGGGCCTATTTCAGTTAAATTCATATCCTTCTGTAATTTAGATCTTCCTGCTTCAACATTTTTCTTTCTTCTGCTGTTGTTTTCTTCTCATTTTGGCACTGAAATAACTCCAGAGTATTTTCTGTTTTTTAGAAAACTTAATTCTTTGGATATTTGCCAGCTTTCACAGCAAGTAATTTGACAATGTTTTTATACAATTATCCAGGAACTGAGGGAAAGAAAATAAGTGTCTCAAGATGCACACAATTTCTATTGTTTCAATTTTCTTCCCTGTTTCTCAGAAGCAATTTTCTTAAGACCATAATAAATGGCAAGGAAAATGGTACTTACAGCCCACTGTGACTGTAATTCCATAAATATTCTGCTCAATCTGTCCATCTGCTAAAATGTTGCATGTCAGAGGAGTAGCTAGTGAAGAAGTGTCATTAAATGTGACACTGGAAACTGTTCTGTTTATTTCACGATATTGTTCTTTAGGTACCACTCTGTTTTTAATTTTCCAGATAATCTGATTAGCATAAATGTTGCCAAAGTCAAGACAGCTCTCATTCAAAATGCATAATGCTGTGAAACTGGAGCCAAGGGCCAGCACTGGAGACTCTGGGCTGATGTGACCACATGACTGTACAAGTCCACCTGCAACTAAAAAGAAGAATTGCATCGTTATTAAAAACTACAGAGCATTCCATAATCAATACTGCTAATACAACACAAGCATAATGTTAAAAAACTACATGTGTGTAAGCAGGAAACCAATCAGTTGCTTGTCAGTTGTAAAACTGAAGTGCATTAGTGGACCACCACGCACATTTAAGGGGTAAAACGAGTGTAATGTTTTGCTTTGCAAAGGCATTTTACCAAGTAAGAAAAGCTCTATTAATAAACAGGAACCTTTAGAAAGAGAGTCGAGTCCCAGTATTAAACATGCAGTATGTTTTGAAGGAGGAAGGTAATATACTTGAGGTTACTCTTGCAGTTAAAAATGTATTTTCTGTTGAGAAAGTTAACAGACAAAAGGGATAAGTGTGCATCTTTGTGGTGGCCTAGTTTTGGAAGAACTGCATACAAAACGTTAAATACTTGAGCTGTCCATTTCAGAAGCTGCAAGTGGGTATACTATAAGCTTATCTGGGAACTGTAGTGAATTCTGTACATTTGATAGTATCCTTTACGAAGTAAGTAAAAACAACAATAAAATTGAGACCATTTCTATACAAGCATATGAAGATAAAAGTGCCAAGTTTTAAAGTTAAATAGATGACTGAAATACTGCCTTGAAACAACAGCCACACTTAACACCTTGAGTATGATCATTCACTAACAGAAGTGGCCCATGGCTCTAACTTGATCATAAAGCCTACAACACTAGTAGTTCACTGGTATCTTACTGCTTTAGTAACTTTAGTCTGACCAAGACATGCTTTCATCCAGATAGCACCTGGCATTAAGTGAAATTACACTTCAGTTTGCTACAGTGACCAGCTCCAGTGCCATCAGTGGAACCAAAGCAACCTTCCATTGACCAAAGCTGCTCTTCATTATGTCTGTACACAGATGAGCTACGAATAGAAGCATTAGTGAGCACTGGGTTAACATGCATTAATTTACCATAGTGTTAAAAGCATAGACTAGGTCTCTCTATCCTAATACACCTTGCTTTCTGCCCACGAACCTCAAGTATCTAGACAAAAAGCACTTACGTGCTTCAAACATCTGATTAAAGAAGTTCTATAACTCTCTTGTGCTTGAAATATGGAAGTCTTACCTTTGAGAGAACAGATATTCAAGAGCATATATAAGCCATGAGCCACCCCGCTCCACCCGGAAAACATGGTGCACAGAATTCCTGTAGCAGAGAAACAGATACACTTTTAATTTAAGCTAGATTTCCCAGTATTGCCTAGAAAAAAAAAAAAAATTAAAAGCTACATTTACTACCATCAGAAGGAAAAGAATCTGTAATTTATGACAGGAAATACTCCTTTGCTTTGATTACATATAGTTTTTTTTACGATAACGACAGAAAGATGCAACACATTTCATACGAATAAATAAAACTAGACAGGACATTTAAGCACTGGTGTATCAATACCAAGCTAGAACCTCATTCCTTAAGCTCTTTTTTTTTTTTTTTTTTTTACAAATCTAGGTAAACAGTATAAAGTACAGAAAAATGTCTATTGACAAAAATTAGAAGCCAACTACTAAACAAAAGCAAATTTTAATCTTGACAGGTGAGTCTTTGAAGAGCTCACCAAGCAGATGTGTTTCCGTTAGGACTAATAGAATAGCCATCAGAATCACTCAGTGGTATCTTTATTTGCCTCTGTGTTTGAGTTCATTACTCAAAGACCACAAAAAATAACTATATAGAAGCTTCATCCTAGAAATACTCCTGATTGGAAGACTTAATTATGTTAACGAGCACTTATATTAGTTACTAGATGGTGATTGAAAAGAGACATTTGAAATCAGACTGTAGTTGTATGGAACTGGGAATCAAAATCTATTAATTTTTTTCTGTGTCACATTCAAGTGCTCTCATTGTGCTGTATATGAAAGCTATTACATAGTGCAATACATCTTTATTTACTGTAAGCATACAGTAAGAGAACTAACCCAACTGATTTTTGCTATTATGGACGTAGTCTTCCAATATCTAAAACCCAGGGTTCCCACCCACCTTCGCCTTCCTGCATCTTAAAATCTGAATCGATTTCACATATTTTGATAAATTCACATGGTGAATACAAGCAAAGTGAGAGGCGCATTCACTTTTCATTAATGTCTTAAGACACTGAATAAAACCAGACCATATGGATCTATTTTAGTGTCTTGACTTTAAGATTTATCAGAAATACTGCTTGCTACCTAAAGGATGTTATGCTCTATTAAGGCTAGACCTTAAGATTTGGTATTTTAAACAAGATTCATTTAAATATTTAAGTTGAGCAATTTTAGTTGCAGAATATCTGAAACTCCTGAGAACTGAGGGCAACTACAGGCTAGGTGGTGAAAGAAGTAGTAGCTCTGCTTCCCTGCTGATTGCCAAAAGGTGCAGAACAACAGCAGAAGCAGTTTCCATACTGAAGAGTAAAGCATATGTAAAAAGGCAAAAGGGAAAGTATTTTACAGATTGTCCAATATAGCATTTCTCTATATTAGAATATACATATTAGAATAACGTCAGTGCCAGCTATGCTAAGTATTACATCATTACAAAGTTACTGGTTTTCTTCTTGGTAACAGTTTGTTTCAGGTTAAGCATAATTTCCACAAAACTATTCAAAACCCACTGGTGTTAAAATCATACTGCATATGGCTCAGGTTAATACATACTGTGAAACATAGGAAGGAACATAAAATCCTTTACTCGAAAAGCAAAAGCCAACAGAAGAGAAGCAAAGACAGAATTATCACATAATTTGCTCTAAAGTAAAATGGGTTTTGCAAGAAAACAAAGTAAGATTACTTAATCTTTTTAAATAAATGCCATTTCTATATTCAACTATGTTCCAGACCTGGAACACCACATTTTAGTTGTCCCAAGCAGATTCACTTACACATGGGAAGATGAATTCTAAATCTACCACCCTGCACTTTGGGAAGCGTAGTCTCTGTTTTGAGAAAGCAAAGAAACCCTCCAAAGCTCATAGTACTTCACCACACTCTGCTACTGCAAGGCAAGACAACCGAGACTCAAGCTCCATCACCTGCAACCGAAAGTGGAACGACCACCCAACTCTACAAGCAGTTGTGACTACAGTGTCAAAATCATGCTACAGCTGAGCCTATATCCGCGTTTAGCCTCTTATGATGTATTTTAGTTTTTTCCCCCTGCTCATCAATGCAGTTTGAAAAAGGTTGAAGCTACACACTCCTGAGTGCACAACGGGGCTATGGCAATTTCTTCTGTGTTCTGCTTTAAAAAGCATTAGCCTCTTTGGCTTTTACAAGACTGATTCTCAATAGAAATTTAGTTCTGAGGGAAAGAACCAGAGTTACTCTAAGCACTTACATCCACACCGTCTAGATGAGAGCCATAAAAAAATAAAAAAATATGGTGGGGCTTGTTACTAACAAAGGAGATATACTGCAGATTAGGCTGAGGAAGACACTTCTATGGAAGCTAGGATTTTCTAATCTGAGCATGTAAAGATGCTCAGGTGCAGGCAGTGCAGAAACCCTGCATATAAGCTATAGCAAAACTTCAAAACGCAGTGCCAGCATGCAAAAGAAATGCTGCTAAACACTAATTCCTCACCATTAACTACTTTAGGCCAGACTAAGATACAAGTCTGGACAACAGAGAATTCAACAGTTTCAGCAATTATACAGCACAGCCCCATCTGTTTTACCACTGGTGTAGTGCATCAGGAATCTAAGGTGAAAGTTCAACTTGAGCTGAGCTAACACTGAAGGCAGTAGTAAATTTCAGAAGACAACGTTATCTGTATTATGTGTTTTTTTTTGTGGACCACTAAATGAAGAGGAAAGGGAGACAGAGAAAGAAACTCACGTTAGAAGTTTGTCAGGCCACTTTCATCGTTAAGTCTGACAAAGTGGCAAAGGACAGAAGCCCATCAAAACGCCAGGCACTAAAACCAACACTGTCCGTTTAGAACGGCTGCTGGTGAGCCCTTAACTCACAAAACACAGGCTATTGTAACAAGAAAAGAAAAATGTTAAACTGTTTCAATTACTTCACTGAAGACAGACATGTGAAACTCGTATGCCATTAGATTACCCCATCTAATCTCTAAATCATATATGACTTCTACTATTATTCTTAACATCCTGCTAGCATTTTGAAAGGAAAGCACTAAGCCTTTATGCCTGAATCTTAAGCTGATGCTTCAAGCAGCGTCCTATGAAAAGCTAATAATGACCCTGAAGTCAAACTTCACGAGCACAAAGTGGCACCAGCACTGATTTTTATTACCAATAAAATGTAAATAATATTTTTTGGAGAAATGTCAGCCCTTTGTGCAAAATGGACAGGACTACTTAACTAAGCAACAGAGAGAAATATTACAAATTAATCTTATTTAATAAATCACGAAAAATGTCCCAAAACAAATACAGGTGCATGTCTCCTCTTTATTTCAGAAGTGACAATTACTGTCCAACTGACCTAAAACTGACAATTTCAGTTTAAGAGACTACATACAAAATAACATGTTCTTGCCAGCAAAGCCAGCTTCCAAGTCCAGAATTATATAGTGTAGTTCACAACCACCACAAACAGGTGTTGGGTCTGTTAAGGCTCATCTTCATAACAATCACAAAAGCCCACAGGTTGTAGTCAAATGGATTTCCAGAAATTCCTAACAAAATGAAGAACTAAATTTACAGCTTCAAGTGATAATCTCTCAGTAAGAATCCACATAGTTCAGGCAGGTAGTGCAAGTGATAGTGCACACAGCAGCTGTTGCCCGAGTCTTTACAAGAAGTAAGGTAGTACTTAAAGCCCATTTAAAAGCTGTGGCTATTCTCAAGGAATTTTGATTACTCAAGCTGCGACTGCTCTCTAATTAGGAGTATTTTATCTGCAAGCCTCCTTCCTCCAAACTTCCTTCCTTCTTGGAAATATTTATAAGACTCAAAAAAAACCCTAAACACCTCCAAGAGAATCACTTAAAAAACTTACATAACGTTATATACACAGGATATTCTGAAATTTTTTCTCATATTTAAAATACCTATACAGAAATGATATCTCTATTCCTTTCACCAAACAGGTATGCCATCTCTTCACATTACTCATGTCTTTGCCTGTAGAAGGAGGCTTCTGCCTAACTCTGGGATTTTAGTACAGCACTCAGAATAAAAAGCCCAAAGGGGCACAAATTAAAAAAACTTAAATACCTCAAAAAAAGCACTAAATATGTGCTTGCAAGAACTAAGTTCTTCTTTCTGGTACCTTTTTAAACTGCAGATCACTTTCTCTGAAATACTTCAGAATGGTGGGGGCGTTTTTTAGCTTATTTTACAAAGCAAATGAATGGATACAAAATAATGTCTTGGCATTCCCTGTTCTCATCTTGAACTCAAACCTTCAAGACTGACAACCCCCAATGATGGTTCTCTAATTTAGATAGGTCTTGCTAAAAAAAGAACTAGAATAATCACGCTAACAAAAAATGGTGGATAAGTTTGTTTACTTCCATACAGAACTGCGCTGGTGATAATTCTCCAGATAAGCAGCATGGGAGACAATGGATCTCTATTTTGTGTACAGACTTGTATACAGGTAGATACCTTCCAACCCCTCAACTTCAAAAAAAGTACATATAGGCTATACTAGAGGAGATCCCTTTTCTAGACATGTAAGCAAGATCCAAATACTTATTTTTAATGCTTAACTTCTAGGGAGTAATATCAAATTTTCATTATCCTCTCCCACTTTCCTACTGTGATACACCAAAACATAGATTGAAAGTTCATTAGGTTCAGAAGTTACATGCTTTCAACAGATACCTTTTACAGAGTATTCATTATTCCTCTGAAAGTAACAGTATTTAGGAGGATAAATATATATTTTATGTTCTACAAAGTAAACGGGGTGAAGGAAAGAAGCCCGTAGCTCCCCAAAGTAGCTGACTTCAGGTTGTGGATCGCTCTTTTTTCCTCTCCTCATTAATGGGACAGATCACTAATCACAAAATTGTAACCCCACATAGTTCCATTAGCAGGTTTCTCCTTCAGAAATGTCTCAGAAGTAACAATCAGAAACCAGCTGGCAATCACCAAATCAGCCTAAAACAAGGATGAAAACTGAGACCAGGATTTATTCTCGTCTGCACTACCAGCACGCTTGGCAGACTGCTCT